GTTGACTATGGCCCTTAGTGCTATCTTGTCCCGCATCTTTGTTACAGAGCTGTATATGATGTTTACAATGGCTTACATTCTGAATGTCCTACTGGTTCACAAACTTTAAGAGCTTTGGGTATTATTTCTCCTAGATGCTTTGGGTCCCTGAAGATTTTTGGTGGGAAATTTTATAAATTGAAAAATAAATAAATATTGCTTAAAATCTAAATAAAGGAGCTCTGTATATTGGTTGAAATAAATATTTTGATCCATGTTGCATACACAATACGTTACATTAAGAAAGGTTAATTCTATATTAAATATAATCAAAAACACAACATGGGGCCTGTCACGCTGACATGGTGCGATAGGTACTTTAATACTGCTCAGCAGGAGCCCTTGTTATATTTTTTATATGTTAGTAGATGTCTACTTAGAATTGATCAAACCTTTCCTTCTGAAACATATATGCCAACACCTCCACAACACACTATAAACTAGACTCTCAGAAAACAATAATGATGCTTATCAGTCACTCGCCTTGAGTTTGCTTGTGAAAAACCTCTAGCTAGTATGCTATTGGAGCTCTTAAAACATAGATCTTTTTGCTGCACTGATAATTCACTCACAGCTTGAGATTGATGACTATGTGAAGTCCATAAAAGATGTTACCACTATATTTTCTTCTTATGATTTATTTTATCATGTTGTCAAGGTTTGCAGAAAACAAGAAACAAATCAATGAATGTCATGCTTAAATATTAAAGAAGGCTGTAATACACAATTTTATTCAGATGCCTTATTCAATCTTGTAGCTCTGAAAAGGGTAGCAGCAGCAAAGCTTTTATTTGAATTACTTTTGGAAAAATTAATTTAGTGTGAATGTTGAATTGTGAATGGCAAAAGGGTAGCTAACCTTATTTGTTTAAAGAGGAATATATAGTTACTTTGATTCTTTGAAAAGCAGTTCTAAGAACCAGAAGGAAATTGACTGGTGTTTCAGCTGAAGAAAAAAACTTAGAAGCAGAATTGTTTAATAAGTTTATATACTGTAGATTAGTAGAAGGTTACATGAGATACAGCAAAGGGAGGATGAGTCATTTGTACATTAAGGGACATCCGTATGAACAATGTAAACACTATAAACCTGCAGGCTGAACCAGTTATTTCCTCATTATCACTGTTCTGATATCACATTTTACACCTTAGTAAGGGGAATAGGGGGCATGAGAAGACAAGACTTGTGATATAAAATGGTATTACTACAATGTCTGTAACCTCACACGATTCAGAACTAGTTGTCTCAATTCTAATGCCCCTTTTCCATGCTTCATTAGAATCCAGACACAAAATAGCAATTAAACCCAGTTGTTTGTTTGTTTTTATAATACTTTAAATTAGGGATGGGGGAAACGATGTCTTAATATTTTTTTCCAAGTGATTTGAATATGGTGGGTTCAAAATGTTGAAACAGAAATGGACATGTTTAAGGTTTCTTCTCTAGGTCGTATTTCACCTTTAAGGCTGGCTTTTGTGACAAATTAGCCCATCCCTATATCTAGCTGTCATTTAAACCTTCATCTTTTAAATTTTCATTTGTTTCAATTTCAACATTTGTTGTTGTTATGAGGAGCAGGCATTAAGAAAAGGAAAAAAAAAGGCAGCGTGAGCTGCTTCCTTTTGCACTGTCTCATGGAAGGCTGTGAATAGATGGGCTGAAACTTTGAATTTGATCTAACTCTTAATGGGAAATTGGAAAGGGAAATGGAGCGCTGTGTGGATGGATGCTTTGTGGTTCACTGAGTAGATATGTTGTTGTGCTCCCAGTTCACTGTAGTTCTTTGAAATGTTTATGCCTTAATATCCAAGAATAATGAATTAGAATAATCAATTCTAGTGGTCATGAATATGTGGGTCCAAGAGACCAGGTCTAACTCCAAAATGAAGAAGTAGCACTTCCTTGCCAGTTACTTTATAAAGGGCATTTTTCATGTTCTTAGCAATAGGGAAGCCAGAAGCAATGAAGAATCCATTTCCATGGTCTAATTTGCTTTATCTGTGTTGGAACAGATATCCAAGTGCTTTCCTCTTTCACTAGCATTACCTTTGTCTTCTTACAATTCCGTTTTAGCTAAATGCTATGCTTCACTTGCAGATCTCATTTAGTGGTTGTCTATCACTATGAATGATAACAGCCAACAATTTTTTTCTCCACATTAATTTTTGTGGAGATGAAAAGGACATCAATGAATGAATTGTGTTTTGGTCAGGGGATGTGTGCACAGACAACCCAATTCTCTCAGCTTCCTTTATCTGAATTCAGGCAAGGGTGCTTCAGGGTGCCATGCAATGTTAGCACTGGTAGTTGTGCAAACATGACTCACAAGATAAACCCAGAGATTTCAAATTGGAATCCATAGTGTCAAGAGCATTCTGTCCTGCCATATGCTTTCTGACTTCTTTGCAGCCGAAGAATTGTTCTATTATTTTTTCTGTAATAAATACATTAGAGAAAACAAAGAGCTGACATTTTATGAGGGGTGCCTTGAATCTAAGTAGGAGTGCTTCAAGTCTAACCAGGGGTGCCTTGAGTCTAAAGTGGTTGAGAACCACTGAATTGCACCCATAATGTTAGCTGCCCTCCTCCAATTATAGATCTCAAATAGTCCCTTGGGTTGCTAGAACATTGCTTCCATTTGTGTCTGATGTGATAAAGATATCTACTGATTGCTGGAATTGCAGTCCATGCTGTTCTACATAGTGCCCTAGTCATTTCACTGAGCTATTGGATAGAGTGAGGGAGAGAATTAGTACTGTGGGACTGCACAAGTGACCCATTCCACTCCATGTCCTATTTTCATGCTCATTTGGGAGGAATCCAGAATACTGATGGTAGCTAACAGGACTTGGAGGTAACTGTTAGTGAATGGAGAGGTTGGTTGCATTGACTGCTGGTGCCTGAAGTATCTTCCAGAAGATAGTGTGCTTTTGGATTATGATATACTTTCTTCCTCAAAGGAGGTGCTGACTGCCTCTGTTTGAAGGAGTCCCAGGTGCTCTCACTAACCAAGAATGGAATTCATCACTGAACGGTGACAGTTCAATTTCCCTGCAATTCTCTAAGACACTAGTTTTGTGAATTTAGTTGGTGACTGAACAGACAGAAGTAGTGGGCTGGGAAGAGTCATCTGCAATGGAATCCATTGACTTTGACTCCACCCATAGGCGCTGAGTACATGGGGGCCTGAGAGCCCTGACCCCTTTTGGGAATAGGCCAGGGTGATCACCCATCCCTAATTGAAGACTGACAAAACCAGCTTGCTGCAGGCCCCTGCAAGGGTCTGCAGGGATTGGGATAAAGCTGGTGCCACATGCATGTGTGTATGCATGCACATACATGTGGCCAGGAATACAGCCCAGGCAGCAGTGGAGAGCATCTCCCCTAGCTGCCTGCAGTCAAGTTTATGGGGGGGACAGATTGAGGCTCCCATGGTGAGGGAGGGTGTGGGGCAGGGGCTGGACCTGAGGGTGCTGCCTTGCCAGGACAGTGCATGGAGCCTGGGGCCAGGGGAGGGAGTGGAACAAAGCCATGGGTGGCTTGTTCAGGGGGCAGCAGGGAGGGGTACAGCTCCCTGCCACTGTGTTCACTCACTCCCAGGGAAGGGGGAATGGGGGGCACATGCCCCCCAGATTTGTGCACACGGTGGAAGCACATGCAGGCTCCCCACAGTGGGCTTGGGGCTCCCCACCCTGCTGCCTTCCCCTTGGGAGTCCCACGCTGCAGTATTGCCATGGCGAGGCACCCCCTGTTCACCCAGCATCAGTGCAGGGGTCACAATTCGGCACCGCTGCCCCCACCCCCGCTGCTGCTGGGCAGGCAAGGGTTGCCTCACCAGGACCATGTGGCTGGTGTGGGACTCCTGGGGGGGAGAGGACAGCAGTGTAGGGTGCCCAGATCTGCCTCTACCCTCCACAGGCTCTGCTTCGCTCTGATCTAGCAGTGTTGCTGGTGGGGTGGGACATCATCTTAGGGTCTCGCTCCTCCTCCCACCAGCAAAAATAAAAGTTGGTGCCTATGATTCCACATGGTGTTGAAGGAGAATGTTGTGAGCAGCTGGGGGCTGGAGGGGATGTGAAGAGGTGTATTGCAAACTTAAGGGAAAGATGTGGGAGCAGAAATGTCTGTGAAAAATATGAAGGGAGGAGCGAAGCAGCAAATGAAAGCCTATATATATCTGCAATTATTTTGAAACCTTGATAATAACAACAATTACATATATTCAGGATACTGACTGCTCTTTAGTATATTTTATTTATGTTGTTCTGGAAATGGCTAAACTTAAAGACCTCTGTAACAAAGAACTACAGGCCAGGTATTTCTTGAGCCACCAATAGTTAGTAGGACACCTCCCTTATCCTAACTCAGTCTTGCTTATAAGCATAAGCCAGATAGTGATTCATAGAAAAACAGGACTACAAGACACCTTTAGAGGTCATCTAGTCCAACTCCCTGCTCAAAGCTGGATCATCCCTATGGAAACCATTCTGTAAGTCCTTGCTTCACGTATTCCTAAAATAAAACTGTACAATGAACCCTGACATCAACTATGATGTATATTGCCCAAAGACATCCCAAGCACCCTAAAGGGTGGTCAGTGTCCTCTGCTGCAAGGGTTATTAAACCTTGTTCTGTAACTTAAGGTCATATTTAATAAAGTTTTATTCTTCCTTTATGCACTCTTCATAGTTGGAAATGCGGATCCGAAGAGCATGTAAAATGCATAGTTCAAAATTCCACATATTACATTGCTTCTCTCACACCGACCCATTCATTATAACCATGCTTTCTTGTTTTTAGGAGTGAATTATATAAGTGAAAGACAGGGTTTTGGCAAAAATATTCCCTTTGCTGTGTCTCAAATCTGCTTAGCTCTAGAGAGCACTTAAAGTACTTTAAGGAACATTTCTTTCTGCTTCTCTGCAATACTTTTAGTACATACACCTTGTTTTTTCTCCAGAGATGGAATTGATATTGAATCAGAAGATTAGGAAAAATCATTGTTGCCTGCCCCAAACAGATCAGGCAGCAAGAACAGTAAGTTGGGTTTTAATTAATTAAATTTGATGCTTTAATTTAGCTTGAGACTATAACTGCAGACGAAAGCATATTTTATTTGCTACTTTCATAACGTATCACAATATATTTATAACATAGTATTAAAAATAAAATATATTGGATTATGCATTATTTCAAGCATTGTATTCAAATTAACTTTAGAACAATTCTTGAAGAATCAAATTTGTAACACAGGATGCAATTTTAGCATCTTATTCTTTGCATATATTATGGTATATTATAATTTAGGCATAGGAAACAAACTTAAAGTTGATCAATCTTCTTTTGATGCCATGGCTCATCAAGTTGGAAGCTGGCAGGCAGATTAAAACTATATAAGTAAGGGAATAGAGTTCTTATCAAAGATAATCAGTTCTGCTGATTTAAGAGGACTTGATAAACTTGAAATCATATTTATGGCTCAAAATCTTGTGCCTACTATATTTGCAAGTAACTCACAAGATTAATAGAACTGAAAACAGTTAGTGGAAATTTCCCCACTAGTTTATTTTGCAGCACTTTGGTGAAATTTGGCTCTGGACTGATGGTCAGTAGAAGGCCTATGGATTATTTAAATTCCATGTAAGTCTTTTATTACATGTGGGATTGGTAGCAATACCTCTTGTGGAGGTTGCCCTACACTTACCACTTGAAGAAATATTTTCAGTTTTCTATAATGTTGCCAGAATTTGACATGAGGGAGTTTTACATATCGAGCGCCTACCTAAGTGGTGGCATTGATTTTTCTCCCTTCTTTTTTAAGCATCAGACAAACCTGTTCAGCCAATTTTGAGGGACTTTTACCTGTGGTGAAAATTGGGTGGGGCAATCTGCAAAGGGCAATTTAGAGTTGGGATTAAAAACAGTGGGCAAATAATGTGTAAGCCACAACATTTCATTATTTCCTCCTTGGAAACAAATCTTGTATATACTTCTCATTTGTGGATTTATATAGGGAGGCATGTATATTCTGGATCTATATATTTGAAGGAAAATCCTTCCAGATTTTCTTGGACGACATGGCAGATTGGTTTCCAGCCCAGACCCATTTTTATCAGGATTCTTGACCCTAGCACAACAAAAAGAGAACATCTTGTGTTCTACCAATCTCAAGGCCTACTGTGATGGCTGGTTTGTACTGAGATGGGGAAGGGTGGCTTGGTTTAGGACTAGTCACAGTATTTCTCTACAAAAACTCAACCACGTGTTTAGTACCTTATTTTTGTTAGTAGCTTAAGATGCCCAAAGCTAATGTTGGAGTGCACTGTGTTATCATTTTGTTATTACAGACAGCTGTGTTGTAGCATTACTTACGTATTTTTTGTCTTGTCACAGGACAATGGTCTTCTGGAGATACAGCAACACTGAGGTAAGTAGATATCATTCAAACCTATAAAAAGAGAGGCTTTTCTTGTAAAACTTTTATCCTCAAAGACTTCTAACAATGTGAACTCTAGATTGCTTTTTAATAACTTTCATAATATTTTGAGGAACTTTTCTAGCTATTTCAGTCTCTAAGAAGTGGATAACAGAGAAGAGGAAGACCACTGGAAAAGTATCCAATTATGCTGGAAATTGTACTTGAACTTTTCAACAAGTTGTGTCCATTTCTCCCCCTTTGGAAATGCTGGGCAGGCTTCCCTATGTTTTTTTTTTTAGGAAATGATGCGATAAAAATTAAACAGCATTTTAGTGTGACTTAATATATAGTACCTTGAGAAGAAAACCTTCTCATCATAATTTGTTGACTAAATATTTGACTAAGGTGTTCCTTGCATTATTTCAATTTGAAATGCCAAGCATGCAATTCTGCTTTTCTTGACAGTGATTTAATAGTAAATGTGAGAAAATTTCAGGATATATAACTCTTCACTGTTCATGTGTTTATATATATTCTGTCCTTCCCCATTGTCATCTATGTTGGGTTTTTTTTGGTCTGGGTATACTGGAGTAAAACAATTGGAAGTGAATTAAAGCTCCCATTGACATCACTGGGATCATGATTTCACCCATTATATTTTGCATGCAACTTATCAATAAGAGCTTCCATAGGTAATGAGGAACTCTGTTTTCTCATTAGTTATGTTTTTTCTTTTAGGGCAAAAACAGAGAAGGATGTGGGCATGAATATTTTCCATAATGCATTAAAATACAAGGTTAACTGGACAAAACAAATTATAATGAGCCAAATTTTCAAATGAAATCTGATATACCTCAAAGTCTGTAAGTGTTTATCTAATCTGCCTGTTGATTGAACATAAAACTCTTGTATAAGTTTTGTATCACTTTTTACATTGCTGTAGTACTGTTGATCTCAGTGGATTTACACAGGAATAAAGAAAAGTTAGGAGAGAATTAGATCCCATGTGTAGACTGTAGATAGAAATTAAAAACACCCTACCAAACAAACACCTTTATTTATATGAGGTGATGTTCTGGCTTTTTTTTCTGGGACAATTTGTAAAAGGAAAAATAGAGCTGGGGATTAAAAAGAGTGGACAAGTAATGTGTAAACCATGAAATTCAATTAGTTCCTCCTCAGAAGCCAAATTTTGGTGAATACTATAGAAAAGAAGTAGAGAGAAAATACTGAAGCTACAACTGGACATAATAAGCTTCAGTAATTAATTGTAAATTGCTTGTTAACCCTAGACATGCATGCATCTCCTTTTTCCCCACGATTTTACAGGCACAGCATAAAAGGAATGTCATGAGTTAATTAATAACTTGAAAGATTTCTCATTTTAAATTTGAAAAAAACAACCCTCTTTGGATTGTATGCTATGTCACATGGCTCATAGATATGAAATGACCAAGGAAATGATTGCCATCTGGCTTTGTGAGGATGCATGGGAGTGGGTATGTGTGCTGAAGCTTTGCTCCATATTTGTACAACTCACTTGAGAGTAGACCACAACGGTAAACAGGGACTGCTCATGCCTTGTTCTCTCAAGAGGAGTAAATCTCCTAGTAACAGGTAGTCAGGAGGTGGGACACTTCTCATTCCATCATTGAATCAAACTGAAGGACTGCAAGATCATCAAGTCTGGTCCCCTGCCATTGGCAGGAGGTTATTGGGCTCAAACGAGCTCAACAAGGTGCTTATCCAGCCTCCTTTTGAATACCTCCAAGGATGGCGACTGCACCACCTCTGCTGGGAGCGTGTTCCAGATTCTAGTTACCCTTATGGAAAAGAAGTATTTTCTTATGTCTAGCCTAAATTTTCCCTCTATTCACTTGTGCCCATTGGCCCTCATCCTCCTTTGAGGTACCGTCCTGAAGAGTTGCTCCCCTAGATCTTGGTGCCCACCCTGACATACTTGTAGGCGGCTATCAATTCACCTCTTAATCTTCTCTTACTCAGATTGAACAAGCCCAGTTCCCAGAGCCTCTCCTCATAGGTCTTATTCTCTAGGCCCCTAATTGGGGAAGGATAGGGTCTCCCCATTATGGGCCTATACAGGCCCCTAAGGGTGGCCCTTGTCTGTACCCTCTCAAGCTTATCCACATCCTTCCTGAAGTATCCAGAGCTAGACACAGTTCCACATCCATATCCTTCCAGCGGTATCCAGAACTAGACACAGTACTCCAGCTGTGGCCTCACCAACACTGAATACAGAGGGAGAAGCACTTCCCTGGACTTGTTGGCAACACATTGGCTGATGCACGCCAGAATTCTATTTGCCCTGCTGGCAACTTCATTGCACTGTTGGCTCATGTTCATCTTCCTGTCAATTGTGACCCCCAGGTTCCATTCACCCATTGTGTAGTTATGGTGAAGGTTCTTCCTACTGAGATGAAGAACCCTGTACTTCTCCCTGTTAAACCTCATTTGATTCCATTCTGCCCATAAAACCAGTCTGTCAAGGCCATCCTTGATCCTTACCCTATCCTCTGATGTGCCCATATTTCCCCACAGCTTGGTATCATCCACAAACTTAATCATTGAGCTTTCCACCCCCTCATCCAAGTCATTAATAAATATGTCAAAGACCACGGGTCCAAGCGTCAATCCCTGGGGGATACCACTGGACGTGGCCTTCCAGGATGAGGCCATCCCATCAATTACAACTCTCTGGGATTGGCCTTTAAGCCAATTGTCCACCCACCTCACTGTAGACTGGCCCAGACCAGTACTCTCCAATTTAATTGAGATAATCTTGTAGGAAATGGAATCAAAGGCTTTACTGAAGTCTAAGTAAATGATATCAACCTCATGTCCCTTGTCCAGCTGGTTAGTTACCTGGTCATAGAAGGACACCAGGTTTGTCAGGCATAATCTACCCTCAACAAAGCCATTCTCGTTACTTCTTAATACCCCACTAGTTACAAGCTTGTAATTGATGGCCTCCTTAACAACTTTTTCAAAATTTTTTCCCAGGGCTGAAGTCAGACTGACTGGTCTGTAGCTTGCAGGGTCATCCCTCTTCCCTTTCTTGAAGATAGGTACCACATTGGCCCTTTTCCAGTTGTGTGGGACCACTCTCGAGTTCCACAACTCTTTGAACAGCTTCACCAGTGGCCCTGCTATAAGCTCAGCTAGTTTTTTCAGGGCTCTTGGATGCAGGTCATCTGTTCCGGCAGACTTGAAAATGTCAAAATGTTCTAAGAGTCCCCTCACCTGTTTGGGAGTGATTTCATGTGGTTTGTTGTCTTCCCCATATTCCCTGGGCCTCTGGACAGGTAAACAGCCCCCATCTGATTTCAAGAATACCAATGTGAAGTATGTATTTAGGAGCTCTGCCTTTTCATGGGGATCAACTGTGGACTGCTCCTCTGTATTCAGTAAGGGTCCCACAGTTGAAGCTCAATTTTTTTTCTTGTTCCCTATGTCTCTATAGAAGGACTTTTTGTTGTCCTTTATTTCAGTTGCCAACTTGATCTCCATGCCTGCCTTGGCTTTCTGTGTCTCATACCTGCAAACCATGGCAATATAAATGTACTCTCTGGCTCCTGAAACATTTTCCCATTGCTTGTATGCTTCTTTTTTCTTTTTCAGTAGTTCCCTAATATCCCTGTTGAGCCAAGCAGGACTCTTGGCTCCTTTCCTGCTTTTCGACCATGTGGGAATGACCTCTTTTTGAGCAGTGAGAATTGCTCCCATAAGAAAGGACCATGGGCATAGGTGACTTGTAACTGTTATTAGTGGGGGCAGGGCACGATTTAAAGGTTCTGATAAAAAATAGGGAATGGATGTACAGACCCCCTTTGGATCTCTCTCTCTCTCTCTCTCTCTCTCTCTGTGGCACCAGATCCCACATGAGGCAGCAGCAGGGACAGGATGAGGCAGCCACTCCCTGCTGCTGACACTCTGGTGGCATCTGGCCACAGGGGGAGCTGGAGCAGAAGCAGCATAGCCACCTGGCAGCATAGCTATGAAAACCACCATAAATCTGGGAGGGCATGTGCCCCTACAAGCACCCCCAGCACATCGCCCATGGCCACAAAGGGAGGTTTCTTTATGAACAGTGCAGAAAGCATATTTTGAACTACTTCAGGAGTGATATGTCTTCTGTTGGTAATCCCCAAGGCTTGCTTTGCACTGCTGTAGGAGCAGTATAACCCCCAAATAATCCCAAATTAACAATGCCATTATCCATGATAGCACATGAAACACAGTCTTCATGGAAGTCTATTACGATTCAAAAGATACCCAACTGATTTTAATAAATATTTGTCAAGTTTAACTACCAAAGAAGGTGATGTTTTCTTTTTTAATTCAGGAGGGGTATAAATGGATAACAGTAACTATAGATAGGAGGAAACTAAGTAAATGGATATTTAAGGGGAATGTCAGGAAAATATCCTAACAGTGAGGGCTAAAACAGTGCAACAGGCTCCTAAGGGAAATGTTGGAAGTTTGAGTAATTTAGAACCAAACTGGACAAAGCACTGGAGTATATCCTGCAGGGAGTAAGCCTGCATCAGCAGAAGAATAGACTAGATTACCTGAGAGGTCACATACAACAAACTGTACAGGAAATTAGAATCACAGTCCCTGTTACTGATGTTTTTTTTAGAATATCCTTTCATTTTCCTTGTATCTACTGGCAATTTGAAATTCAAATGGTATAGTAACCCTTTAAACCCAAAAGGGTAAAAGGTAAATTGTGCTACAGCTTTTAGTAGATTGATTGGCAAATGTTCCTGTTATTGTTAGTGCAGGTTACACATCTAACTCCCTGTTCACTGCTCTGAAAATGTTCCCTTTAAAGTCTAAACTGCTGCTGAAATCCCAAAATACAGAGCTGCTTCCCCGCCTCCCACAAATATTATAATAATCAAAGAACTTTTACTGTCAGTGCAGAACACTGACACGCTGTAAAGCGAAAGGTAGAGCACTGACAACATTTCTCTTGCCCACCCCAC